AAATAGCTGTAAAGAAAGTAATTAAATATGAAGATAGTGGATTTAAATAGTGAATTTATTGTTGATACATTATTGATATAAGAATAAAGAAGAAAAAAGAATATTTAGAAAGATTCAATTGAAATATGTAGAATGTTATATTCAGTATATCAACGATGTTAATCTTGTATTACATACAGAGGACAGCATTTTAAAATGACATCGCCACTTTACACTTATATCATGATGTATGAACAATGATCTTGCCATTGCCTTTATATCTAGTATTTTTGTTATAACTTTTTAATAAAGTGTTTTCATACCTATGTTTAACATTGTTTTTTCATTTTTATTCATAGAAAGTACTAATAATTTTACAGAAAAATTTAATTAGCTTCTTGCCTTACAATGCAACAAAAACAGTTTTATTAGTAACACAGATTAATTAAGTTTAATTGTAACTTTAACTTTAATTTATGAAACTAAGGATTATCAAATGAAAATAATGCATAATAGTTAAACTTTTCTTGTCTGATATATCAATATCTGCATAGTCAATAAAAAAATCATAAAGCAAGAGGTTAATATAGTTATTAATGACCAATTGTAGAGCTTTATGGAATCAGATATTTCTGATAAATATGAACTATCATTATGAATATAGTCTATATTAACAATTGTGCTTGTTAATAATCATTTTTTTTATTGTTTAGTATATGCATGAAAATGAGAATAAAGTCTACATTGATGTTAATGAAATGGCAGATGCTTTACAAAGAAAATATAGAGATTATCGTATTAAAAAACGAGGTCCCTTTAGGGCTTTAGTACGCAAAGCATATGATGAACTCACAGAAATGTTTGCAAAGAAATATTGTTCTCGTGAGTGGTCTGCATATGATGATGAAGATGAAGAAGAAGAAGTTGATGTTGAGGTATTTATATATACACTATTTAAATGTTATATATAATAAATTTTGAAGAAAATATATGTTTTAGTCAAATCCACAAAATACCATGTTGGATGGTTTGCTATTAAAAATGTATAAAAGATCACAGAATAAACAAAATGGAAATTCTAGTGATAAAGAACTTATTGATATCAGCAGTGATGATGATGTCAGCAAATTGGAATCGAATTCTAATAAAGCACCTGAACCTGAGATTACAGAAAAAAATTTACAACAAAAACCAGGTCCATCTTCATGTATAGAAAAGCCTCTACCTGCTAAAGAAGTTGAACAACTGAAAATAGTAATTCTTAAGCTTTTCTTATTTCTATTAAATTTCTTAAATTCATTATTATTTAATATCATTTGTTTTAAATGTATTTCAATATGAAATATATATTAAAATAGTGATACTATAGATGTTGCTTTACCTAATTTAATTTTTATAGCCTGCAAAAGAAATACAACAAACTACAACAGCAGGAACAACAATAACTACAACAACAGCAGTGAAACAATCTACTAGAAAAAGACAGCGTGAAAAAGATGATAACAGTCAATTAATATCTATGAAGAAAACCAAGGGAGTACCTATTTCTGAACCAAAGATCACATTTACAGACATAGGAGGAAATGATAAAGTTTTAAAACTTGTATGTAAATTGCTTGCACATATGAAGCACCCAGAAATTTTTAAACAGCTTGGTATATCACCACCAAGAGGATTTTTACTTCATGGTCCACCTGGATGTGGGAAGACTTTATTAGCACATGCTATTGCAGGAGTAAGATATTGTTTGTAAAACAGTGTTTTATTCTCTATTTGTTTATACATTTTGTAATTTTCAAAATTAGGAATTAGGAATACCCATGTTAAAAGTAGCAGCACCTGAATTAGTGGCAGGAGTATCAGGTGAAAGTGAAGAAAGGATTCGAGAATTATTTGAACAAGCACTTGCAATTGCACCTTGTGTAATTTTCTTGGATGAAATTGATGCTGTAGCACCACATAGAGCTACAGCTCAAAGAGAAATGGAAAGAAGAATTGTTGCACAGCTATTATCATGTTTGGATGGTAAATTATTATTATAAACTTGCAATAAATTATACTAACATTAAAATTAACTTTTACATAGCAAATATTTGATATTGAACAGATCTAAGTTTGAAGGAAAATGGTATTAGAGTGTTAGTACTTGGAGCAACAAATCGACCTGATTCATTAGATCCAGCATTAAGAAGAGCTGGTCGATTTGATCATGAAGTGTGTCTGGGAATACCAGATAGGGATGCAAGGGCAAACATTTTAGCTGTACACACAGAAAAAGTAGCTCTTGCTCCAAATGTCAGTTTATCTACAATAGCTTCACTTACACCAGGTTTTGTTGGTGCCGATTTGGTTGCATTAATTAGAGAAGCAGCCATGGCAGCTGTGGACAGGTAATTATTCAAACATTTACTAAGTATTTTAAGAATCAGTTTTTAATATAATCAATTATGCTTCTTTATATTTCTATTAGGATACTTGAAGACTTAAACAGGTCGGTACAAGACAATAAATCGTCAGAAATAACAAAAGCTAATACTGACGCTGAAAAAGAAATACAAAGTTTTGAAAATTCTGATAATTTAGTTGAAGAAGTGACTATTGAACCATCTACCTCAGATCAAAATAATGTTCCTAAATTAAATAAGACAAGCAATCCAGAAAGTCCACAAGCAACATTAGAAATGGATATAATACAAGAAAATTCAAGATCTCCAGATTTAACAGGGTTACTTACTTGGTTACGTAATGACCCGCCACTTCCTTCAGAACGATTATCAAATTTATGTATTGAACATAGTGATTTCGAAACTGCTCTTCGTATTATTCAGCCATCAGCTAAAAGAGAAGGCTTTGCAACAGTACCTGACGTTACATGGGACGATATCGGTTCTCTACGAGATATTAGAGAAGAATTACAAATGGCTATACTCGTAAGTATATTTGTATTTATATAATTTAAAAAATTTGAATAATTTAGTACACATTTGAAATATACCAAGTATTTTCCCTTTGCTTTCTCCCTCTCTCTCTCTTTTTTTTTTTTTTGTTTAATATTCCAGGCTCCAGTTCGACATTCCGAACATTTTACAGCGCTAGGATTAACAGCATCTACTGGAGTATTATTATGTGGTCCACCTGGTTGTGGGAAAACATTATTAGCTAAAGCTATTGCAAATGAAGCTGGTATTAACTTTATTTCTGTTAAAGGACCAGAACTTTTAAATATGGTAATAATTTTAATCATTAAAATAAATATTAAGATAAAATATAATTATTAATTTGTTTTTCATTATCTCAGTATGTTGGAGAAAGTGAAAAAGCAGTTCGGCAATGTTTCATTAGAGCTAGAAATTCTGCTCCATGTGTTATATTTTTTGACGAATTGGATGCACTGTGTCCTAGACGATCAGAAGGTGATAATTCAGCCACTTCACGTGTTGTAAATCAAATGCTTACTGAAATGGATGGGGTAGAAGGACGTCAAGGGGTATTTTTAATGGCTGCAAGCAATCGACCCGACATTATCGATCCAGCAGTATTGAGACCTGGAAGATTAGATAAAATTTTGTATGTTGATCTGCCTACTACAGCAGATCGTGCTGATATTTTAAGAGCATTAACGAAGGTCTTGTATTCATATATAGTTACCAGCAAAGCAACGTTTCCAAAGAATTTTATCCTTTTAAAAGCGAATTTATATTTATAGAATGCAACTAAACCTAAATTAGCTGCGGATGTAAATCTTGAAGAAATAGGATATAATAGTAAATGCGATGGTTATAGTGGAGCCGATTTGGCAGCTTTAATTAGAGAAGCTGGAATTGAAGCATTAAGAGAGTTAATGGATATGCATTATTCAGGACAACCAGAAATTTCTATGCGGCATATCTTAATTGCGTTTGACAAAATAAGGCCGTCCGTACAAGAGAAGGTAAACTTTTTTTTTTATTAAAAAGTAAC